CCGGCCAGCCCGTTTCTCGGATTAGCCGCCGCTCCGTGGCAAGGACGTGTAAGAGACAAGACAACAGCATGCGTGCAGCTCCTCGGCAAACAGCAGTTCAGAGAGTTGCGCGACTTCTACCGCGAGAATCCACACGATGCCCTGTTCCATGACAACAGTGACCCAAGCCGCGAGCGACAGACAGAGACCACTGCTGGATCTAGGCCACAGGCCCACAGAAGCTCCACCGGCAATCAGCACCGAGCAGCTGAGTGCATGAAGATGTGGCCTTGGATGCGGGACCTGCCGACACGAGCTTGGGCCGGCAACGGCTGGCTACTCGTGGAGGACGGCATGATGAAGCTCTCGCCGACCGGAGGGGGCTCCGCCATGCAGGGCCTCGAGATCTTCGAGTCCATGGGCTCCGTCCCAGAAGAGCCGAAGCCCTCCATGCCATCCAGCTGCGTGGAGCCCAAAGCCGATCAAAGCCAGGTCGTCACGGCGAGGTTGCGTAGCCTGGAGCGCCAGAGCGGCATCCAGGGAATCAGCTGGAAGAGAGAAAAGGCTTGCTGGCGAGTCCACTGGCAGGTAGCTGGCAAGCGGAAGCTGCTCCACTTCCCCATCTCCAAGCACATGAAGCTGGGCCTCGGCGAGGCCGAGGCCGTGGAGGCGACACTCGAGGAGGCCAAGGCTTTCCGCGAGGAGCTCGTGCGCCAGGGAAAGCTGAAGCCGCCGAAGCCCGTCGCGGAGAAGGCCTCCGGCTCCAAGGTGAGAGGAATCTGTTATGACAAAAGCAGCGGAGCGTTTCGGGTTCGAATTACAGACCCCTCCACCAACAAAAAAGTGCACGGCGGCTACTTCAAGGTGAAGGAGGAGGCCGAGGCCCGGGCCCGGGAGCTGGCCAAGGAGCTGGGGCTGCAGGAGGAGCTGGTGCCAGTGAAGCCGCTCTCGGAGCTCCCGCACTTCGAGCCGCTGGGGCCACAGCTAGGGATCAAGTGGAACCGTGGCGAGCAGGCCTGGCGTGCCCGGTGCAACGTGTCGGGAAGCCACAGGAACGTGAGGTTCCGCCCGAAGGACTTCTCCGCAAAAGAGGTGGAGAAGGCCTGGAAGCAGGCGGTGGCCTTGCGCAAGCTGCAGGAAAAGGAGAAAGAGCGGGCCGAGCAACTCCGGAAGCACTGAGGAGCATGGCAGTGCAGGAACTCAAGCTTTGCAGTGGCTGTTTTTCGCGGCAGTTGCCGCACGTTATATGGCCAAGCTGCATTTGTAAAGAGTAGAGTGAACCACGCCAGCAAAGGCATCATCTTTGGACTGGGATCCTCTCTTGCAGGGCTCATCTTCCTATACTCACTCTGTGTTCATTTGCAAGCCTTGCCGTGTGCACATCAGGCAAGTGTGGATCCTATCACCTCCCGCGCCGCATTCGAAGGCTTGTACCGCGACTTCGTATGTGTGCGACCACATGCTCATCTAGTGCACGGCCACCTGGAAAAGCAATGACCCTACCACGACCGCCCGGCCCCATGCAAGTTTCACCTAAGTCTGCAGTTCGTAGCCTGTTGGCTTGGAGGGCGTTTCGGTGTTGCTCTTTGGTATGGGGGGCAACGTTCTCCAATAGCTCTAAACCCTAAACCGTGAAATCCTCACTGCGCTATTGTCGCCAGTTTCGGACTTCTTCGGGCCGAAAGTTGCTGAGTTGCTGAAGCTTCGGGCTCAGGGCGTATGGGGTGTAGAGGCACCAGGTCTTTAGGGCGCACACGCTTGGTAAGCTGCTGGTTTCTGTGGGTCACAACGCTTCTTTGTGCTTTTGGGATCATAAATCGAGCGTTTCTAGCTCAGAGACCTCCCGCTGACTTTTCAAGCTTTATTTATGGCTCGAGGTTCAAAGGGGTGTCTAGGCTTTCCCAGAGGTTTGTGCTTAAAGTGCAACTCCCAGCCCTGAACCCGCAAGAGAACCCAGGACCTACCCCACACGCTACAGCCACCCTAATCCCTATAAACCCCAAACCCCTAAAGCCGAGACCCTCAACCTGAAACCCTAATCTCTGACCCCGAGGGCCCTAAACCTGAACCCTGGCTTTGCAGAGCGTCAAAAGATTCCGCTATTGCAAGAAACCGCGCCATGGCTTCCCCGGATGCGACTTTCCTGCTCAGATTTCAGGAAAAGGTTGCTTTACCTGATTTCGGCTCCTTAAAGTTAGGGTTCGTAGTCTCTAGCATCTATATTTGGGCCCCGCACTGCATGAAACACCAATCTCAGCTGCTTGAGCGTCGAGGGGTTCGAACTGCACATGCACGGCCTGTTAAGTTTGGACAGCGGCTCTGAACCCTAAAGCGGCCCGAAGCATCAGTACTTATTTCAGGACTGACAATGCAGATGTTCTGCAACGTGCAGGCCAGAGGCGTTTTTGCAGCCGTAAGGTATTCTGGGTGTTTTGGCCCCGCTCAGTCGCTGTGTAGGATACTTAGATCGTTCCAAACTGCACACCAGCCGGTAGGGTACTCCCGCTAAACCCTAAACCCTAAACCCTAAACCCGAAACCCTAAACAGTAAACCCTGAACCCTCTACCTCTGCCCTCGAGAACTACAGTCCGGAGTCCCAGCACAGGTCAGGACAGGAAGCATCTCACAAAGTCAGAGTCTAGGAGTTTATAGGGTCTTTAGGGTTTAGGGAGCTTAGGCCCCATCTCCATCGATCACAACAACACCTAAACCTTCTACTGCATCCTTGAAGCGCTAAACCGGCTTGAACCCCAAACACTGGCGAGATCTGGGTTTCAGGGGCCTTCTGGGGCTGGCAGGCTTGGGGTTCCGCGGCTCTGTGTCTGGGGTTACTGATACATGAGATTTCATTGCCACTCATAATCACCGTGAAGCACAACTCAGACGGTCCCATAACTTGTAAACTTGTCCTACTACTTCTGAACGAGTATAAGACTTTCAGGGCGCTAAAACTGTATTCTGAATGGTTTGGGTTTCTATACCCGCCCGCAGTCTAGTAAACTTCGGCGCTGAGGTGGCCGTGCTGTCGGTGAAGATTGCCAAGCAGCGCAAACCTCGCCCAGCCCAGCTGCGGAAGGCCACACAACCGCGCGCAGTATAAAGTAGGGGCCTAAAAAATTGCCGATACTATTTTTGGGGGTTCCTGTTTATATTTTTTGTATCCAGTTATTACGGCCCCTATATTACCCCGCCCCACTTGCGGCGATACCGAAGTGGTTTCTAAGTTCCGTTTTTGGTTTAGTGCAGGTCCAGATTGGCGATCGAGGTGTTGTGAGTTCAAACTGATTCTTCTGATGTTGGTGTTTTGGTTCTGGTGTCGGAACGGGTTTACTCGGTCAAGTTTTGGAGTTGGTTTCAGCACGCTTTGGGTTGAGCGCCGCTCTGATTTTCTTGCAGAAGGGTTCTTTTCTGTCAGAGTGGTTTACAGGGTGAACGTTCAGGTTGAAGGAGTTACAGGTTTCAGGGCATACAATTCCAGGCTGCTTTCGCTGTCGAGAAGAAGCTGTTTCGGGATGCAGCTTCCCTAAACCCTAAACCCCAAACCCTAAACCCTATCGGCAGTCCGAAGGAAACCCCTCAACTTTGGCCCAAAGCCCTCTCTGAGGGTTTCAGGACAGACCTGAACCTCTGGACGTCCAAACCCTGAGCCCTACCATTTTAACTTGGGGAGTTCGGTTTTTGGGGGCATCGTAAAACACTCGAATTTCTACGATTCCAATCTCATTCGGGTAGAGACTGGGGGAGTTGCAGCCGAGGGATACGTCAGCAACGGAACCTACCAAAACCATCCCCGAACCCGAATCAAAATCAAATGCTAACCATCAAGATTCAGCATTCAGCGCCAGGAAGGCAGAATCGACAACTGTGCCGCCATCCAGGAGCAAACTGTTCCGGGTCCAAGATTCAAGACAACTGGACCAGTGGTTGGTCGGCGATTGGGACTACAGGATTAATGGGTGCTGATTGAGCAGAAGTTTGAACCTGAATGTAGGCTTGCAATTTTGTTCGCACATGGCTTGCAGAGCTTAACTTGCTCCTGAGAACCAGTACTGGTGGTCAGCTGACTTCACTCAGGGTTTGTGCTGGGACCTGCTGCTTGACACAACTCGTCTAATGTCTACCTGGACCCTAAGAAACCTACCTTGCCTGAATAGCTTAGGGCCGTTTAGGGTCTAGGTATGCCCTCAAGTGTCGGATGTTGGATGCTGGGCCACTTTTTAGATCCCATGAAGTCCTAAACAGAACCGTGCAAGGTAAGCAAGGGGTCTCCGGTGCAGGAGGGTAGGGATTTCTCAGTTCACCCTGAGGCTGGACGAAGAGATAATAATGAAGCTAAAACGAATTCCAATCTTGTTCCTTGGGGTTCCTGACTAGGAAAAGACTCATACTTTCATATACACCAAAACTGTCTTAAGGCCCCTACATTAAGCGATTTGGGTTTGCGGCTCATGATGTCCGTGCTGTTCGGTGCGCTCGAAGTGTTTCAAACAGAATGCCGCTTGCGAAGTTCAGCTGCTGTGGGCTTTTATCTGCTCAACTCGGGATGTCATGAAGTTCGTTCCCCTACTACCACTAGATGTTTTGTTTTGGCGGTTGACTACCAACCACATGGCATGTCCCCTCGCAAAGTTCGAACCGAAGGAGCCAGCCGCACCTCGACAAGTACAGCAAGAAGTTACGAAGCAGATTGAGGCACACTGGGTCCCGGCAGTCAGAACACCATGACGTGTCGTTCTCACCTTAGTCATCCATGAAGCAACCTGCAGTCTGCAGTCGCAGTACAGAATCGGTACTCCCTCGCGAGGCAGACCAGCCGGCAGGCACCTTTAAAGCCCAAGACCAAGACAACCAAGAGGAGCTCAAGGCAACTAGCCGCTAGCCATCGTAGTTTCCCTCTTGTGCTTTGCGCCCGGCAGCTGCTTATGGAGTATACCTAGTGTCAAGTGTATAGAGTATTATTCAAACCCTTGCACGTGTCTTTCTTGACGTTGCGTCCTACTAGTGCGACCCCGTGCTTCTCATCACTTTCGACACAAAGTGTATAGCGAATCCTCGCTGTTCCCGGCTTCGTAGGGGCAAGAGCCAATCGCGAGGCACAACCTCGATTTGAATCTACGCCCAGGTTGTCACTTCTGACTACACCGTAAAGCCCTGAACCCTGGACCCTAAACTGCTAAAACCAAAATCCTGGAGGTGAAAGATGAATTGAAGGAAGAAGTTGAGGCAGCTTTACGCTTGGGCAAGATCTTGCATGACATAGTATGGAGACTCGTAAGTTGGGTCACTTCGAAGTTGTTGAAGCCGGCTTGTACACTGGTTGGGGGTTTAGGGCTGAGCCCGTTGAACTTGGTCCAAATCACGAACTTGCGCCCCGCGACCCAATCGAGGTTCATTGTGCTCGGATGTTTTGGCAGGTCATGGTATGCTCTGTGGCTAAGTAGAGTTTGGACGGTCGCCCGGAAGCTTGAAATCAGTGAATCAATTTTGTTCACCGCCGTAGAAGGATTTCTTTCCATGTGCATTTGCAGGCGCTGTCATAGCGATACTCGGGTCATTCAAACGAACCTTGAGTTGCTACACCGAATGATGGAGCGCATTGCATGAGTTGTCTCGATAAGAGGTAATGTAGTTGCCCTATAATAATCACCTATACTATTTTGGGGGTTTATACTATTCTGGGGGTTCCTTATCATAATTACGGTATAATATACCCCCAAAGCCCCATTCTAATTATTAAGGTCCCTACATTAGGTCTTACTCTGATGCCAGACACAGTGGTTCTCTGGGTCAACGCAACCCCGATGGAAGACAACGACATGCATCCCTGCTGATTATCAGCACGACTGCGTTTGAATATAAATTTACAGAGGCCCTGAAACCTGTAAGCCACGTCTAGCAGGGCTGCACGTCCGGGGGCTGCAAGGGATTCCACTATTTCATTATGTTGGCAACACGGCGCCGGAGAGATTCGAAATTCGCACATTCGGAAAATCGCCCAGCAAACATGCCTGAAGGACATGAAGACTCAGACAGAGGTGAAGGAGGAGGTTCCGAAGAACAGACAGCAGCTCGTAAAGACTGAGATTAAGGAGGAGTCTTTGAAGTGCGTGGATGAGCGAGTCAAAGAGGAGATCACGAAGAAGGCTGATGGGTGTTTGGAAATACTGAAGCATTTGCAATACTGGAGTTTGCTTCACCGGTGCCTTTCCTTGTTTCTACACCAGTGGTACTTGACTGGAACATCAGCACACCAGATTCTACAACCCTAGAACAAAGCGCTAAACCCTATACCCTCTAATCCCTTAGAACCTATGAGGCTTCAAAGGTTCGCGTTCCGGGGTGGAGAGTGGGGGCCACGGTAGGTGCAATCTGGTTTGTATGGTTTGGAGACCGCGATGCTAGGATTTCACCCGCCGCAGTGTGCATCAGTGTGCATCCGTGTTCTTGAGTAGTTCGGCTGCAGTGCGTGCAGAGTGCCGAACATGTTACAGGCGGCTGTCGCTGTCATACATCTGTGGCTTCGTGATGAGAATACATGGATGTTCGTCTTTGCTCTATCTGGTGGCCCTAAACCCTAAACCCGAAACCCTGAACCCTAAACCTGAAAACCCTAGTGGCTGATTTCGAGATTCGGATTTCCTCAGCCCTACACCTGAGGGCCTAGGAGGTTTGTCTTGTTCCGGGATTTCCTTTAAGCTGCTAAAATAAGGAAACCATATTATTTACTTTAGGTCCCTACTATGGTAACTGAAATTTACTTCCTTACAGGATCCCAGTGAAGCCTGCGATCGAAACCCGGGAAGTGCGGAAATAGTAGAGTTCAGGCTGCAGCGTTTGTTAATTGAAGGGGTCTCGTGTTTCGGAGAGGTTCATCTGTCTTGAGACTGTGCAATGGGACTCTGAGTCGCATCCAAGTTGCCCCATTTTACGTTTGGCCTCTGCCAAATTGGCTTTAGTGAATAGTTTCCAGCAAAGCGCTGGAAGGACATCAAGCAGGAGGTGAAGCAGGAGGTTTCGAAAGATATGGAAGTGAAGAAGGAGGGCAACGAGGCAGCCGAAGACGCGATGCGGCAATGAAGTAGAGCAGCAACCTCAACTTAACGAAAACACTTCAGGCAAACATGGTCATATTTTAGAGGGAGCAAGCCCTTGAGGCAAGTAGCACAGGCATGTTCTCATCACCTAAACCCTAAACCCTGAACCCTAAACGTATGTTACTGTCGTCACACACCCGAAAAAACAAGCGTGCTCAGCTGCAGACCTCCATGTTTAGGTTTTAGGGTTTGGGGGAAGTTTAGGCGTGTAGGGTTTAGCGTTTAGGGAGTAGTCTGCGCCGGCATCCTCATATGGCTCAAGTTTAGCGTTAGGGAGTTTGGTTGCAGGGCAGGGCTTTGGGGAAATGTGTATGCCGGTAGAAACAGAACAAAGATACTCGGTATATCCTCAAAACTGTCTGCAGTCTTGTCCGTTCGGTCCATAGACTGGGGGACTTGGCCCTAAAGTGCATGCAGGCTTTTGGGTCCCATGTCCTGGATGCCCAGTTTGGATTTGATGGTGGACCATTTGGGTTTAGGGTTTCTGCATGCACAGCCCAAGCTGCTGTAGAAATCAGAGTGACGTCATTCTGAGCAGGCCCGATGAGAGATCCTGATGTAGATATATAAATGGCTTCGTTGCAAGGGCTTGTGCAAGTATAGATTTTGCCAATGGTCGTCCTTCTGCACACTAAATACGCACAGCTCCACCACATTTGTCTAGTGGCAGGTGTTGACTTGACTTGCTAAGTGCTTGGGGCTTTCTATGACCCTTAACCCGAAGCCCCGAACGCCAAACCCTATCCTGCCATGAAGGTTGTCAGCTCTTGCCGAAGAATGCGCACAAAGGCTGCCGTGGGGAGACGCCGCTGCAGATCGGGATGCGAAGGTGTAAGTTCTCCTCAATCCCTGCATCCTAGACCCCGTATGTAGAGAGAGAGACAGAGAGACAGAGAGAGAGAGAGAGAGGCAGAGGCAGGCAGAAAGGGAGAGAGAGGCAGAGAGGGAGAGAGAGAGAGAGAGGGCTGGAACATCAAGCGAGCATCGGTTGAGGCGTCCAGGGTCGGAGTCGATAATTGGTGTTGATTTATTTTGTTGTGTTGTTATTTATTTCCTTCTGTCTTTATTTCTGTCTTTCTTTCTGGTCTTTTGCTTGAACCAATTTGGCTGCCAGTTCCTCAAACAGGAGTTTCGGGTCCTCGAATGCTGCAGCTAAGTGGGTACTTCAGTTGAGTTTGCAGGTTTACAGCCTAGTTGAAGGAGCCGATTCTGCAAGAGGAATTTAGAGCACAGTGCAGACGTCTTCAAGATGGTACAACAGTATTCTTGTACCACGAGGAGTCGTGCACTCAAGGCCCAAGGTCGTCGTAGAGTAGCGAAGTAAAAATATGATCTATTTGGGGTTCGCGGAGTTGCAGTGTATGCCCAAGCATGCTGGGGGGATGAAGATGAAACCCTAAACCCTAAAGACCCTGTGCCGGAAACCCTATATGCAGCTTCCGAGTTAAAGACTACATACCATCTCTGGGTTCCTAGACGAAGAAGTGCAAGTCTTCAGCTCCAATTCCGACTCATCTCCCTTGGAAGGCAAAGGTCGAGATGAAGCATGAAGTGAAGCTGGAGGACGCTTCTATGCAGACTTGTCTGCCAGGCTTCAGTCGGCTCTGTGTTTCTGGAGCTCGAACCCTAAACCCTAAACCCCAGTCTCGGCTACAGGAACTCAGATCCACAGATGTAGTTTGCTTCTTGGATTAGACAGGTTTGTGGTTCGGGGTTCCTGCGATTCTCGCTGCTACCGTGTCTTGTTAACGACAAACTCCTGATGCGTCCTCTGATGGAATAGTTCAGTTTTGTCCGTACTGCTGTTGCTGCTGCAGCTGCTGCTGCTGCTGCTGCTGCTGCTGCTGCTGCTGCTGCTGCTTCTGCTGCTGCTGGTGTGGCCGCTGTTATCATCGTCTCGGTCCTCACTATAGCAACCAGAGTTACTGGTGTTCTAGGTACCTTCTACACCTGCCATGAGGGACGACGAGTCCAGCATTATCAATGGTATAGTTATGTACAAATGTTGTCCGCCTATACTCGGTGGTGCGGCTCTAGTTGTTGATTTTCAGTTCTACTGAAGCGAGGAGACTCTTATGGTCATCATACTACTTTACCTCTGGGATACTTTCGCCATTAGTGACCATACATGTTGGTCATGTCTTTCTTGGCCGTGCTGCTTTTGGGGCCTGGATTTTCGAAGCGGGGTCTGGGGTGACCGATCTAGGACTTAAGAATTGCACCTTCTGTTCAGGGTTTATAGATTGGGGTTGGTTGCATCTTGGTGCTTCGATGGCTTCGAGCTGGGTCTGGCCGTGCAGCAGTCTGCAGGAACATATCCAGTCAGCATTACAGACGGACTCCTGTATCGCTTTCACCCTCTCTGTCCCTTCTCACAGGACCAGAAGTGGCCAAGCCAGTTGTACCTTGGCAGTTTTCAGAAACCTTGGATCTTGCTCAGGTGGAGTCCCTTCAATTCGGTATATAGTGAGGTCTCAGTGGTGGGCAGATTCGAAGACTCTCGGCTAGACCCTAAACCCTAAACTTTGGCCCTAAACCATACCTAAACCCTGAACCCTACACCGTACGACTGCCCTAGGAGCTTGGGGTCTGCGCTTT